AGCCAGCTGTTGAACAATCACACTAGTTTGCTGCTGGGAAATGAATCCTACATCATCAACGGTGGCGATTTGCCAATAAGAAACTACCCTTCTTTGGCCAACAGCAATTTGTTGATTTGTTCGCTTGGGCAGCAAACCCCGCCGTCTCGAGATACACGGGAGACTTGCTTTCAACGAATCAGACGAGAATCAGCTGGTGTGCAGCTGGAAACACTCCAGTTGAGTTGAATGTGACCCTTTCCAGGAGTGGAACAACCTTCAACTTCACCTACCAGTTTGACCGCTTAAAGCTTGGAAGTGAGGTACCAGAGCAGCTTTTGCAAAAGCCTCAGATTTGTGACTCATTTGCTCCTGCTTGTGAAAATGGCCGTGGGCTGGATCCGGTTCCATTGGATGCATATATATATTCCATCCAGGTATGTCGGTTGAAGACTACAACATTGAGGACCAAAATGTTGCAGATCTCGCAGGAGACGCAGCCTTCATTTGTATGGACTGGCTCTTCCATGAGTCCCCCCGACTTGATCACAACTACACCTTGATCTCACGCTATAGCTTGGAAATTAGCCCCGCATTTGGACAGTACCGGCCATGCAATGGCTACCCAGACACCATCCCACCTGACCCTTCATGTGTTCCCGGGGATCCACGTTTGGTGGGCAGGGAAGCTCCATTTTCTGCTGGCGAAGGTGAGCTAAGGTGTGCAGGGAGTCCTTTAGGCTTTTGGTATCAGCTGCCGAAAGGTGGTCGTTGCTCTACTGGACACAGACCAAGCAAGGAAGCTTGGGCTACTGGCTGTACCTGGTCTGTGCAGAAGCGCTTGAAGACCATTCAACAGGCCTGCTTGCTTAGAAATCACAATTTCCTTCAGTACTGTAAGGCTGACGTCCTCGAAGATAAAGGCTTTGGCAGGAGCATGAAAGCTTTAGAGGCTGCCTTCGCCTCTGAGGATTCATCCTTGGGTGGATGTGCTGATGTTGGTGAACCTGTTGCTCAGGACAGCGAGTCCATGGTGGTAGTTTGATCAACTTTGATATATAATATATAATTATATATATAATATGATACAATATAATATAAAAATATAATATACAATATTACTTTGATATACTTTTGCAATCTTGTTATCTATCTTGTTTAGTTGCCCTGGCTTGAGCTCTTCATAGTCTGAGCAAAAGTGCTCAGACTTGCAGCATCCTGCGCTGTCTTGATTGCGCCTAGGCATCGAATCTAATAAAGTTCTTTTTCAAAAGCCCTGCGCTGGCAGACTGGAATGCAAGAGTAGGTACGGTGCCAAGGCATTTTGGCCGCTCGACAGGCGCAGAATGTATCTGTTTGACAAGTAGCATCTCCGTCTAAGGAGGCTTTTCATGCCTCAGGCTCTTGCAAGGCGCAAGCAGATCATCCCGCCAAATTGAAATTGAATGAAATTGATGGGAAGAGGAGCCATATGGAGCCATGATAGTGATCAATCATGTGCTATGACCTGATGCTTTCTCGACAAGGACCAAAAAGGATTGCAGACATCGCTTGACTCTGATCACGGCAGAGAACCTTTCACCAGATTGCAATAAAATACTTGTGAACACAGAGAAGACCAGCAGACTTGGTCTGAAGGCGATGGAGAGAGAGAGGGAGAGAGAGAGAAGACCAGCAGATCGGCGAACCAAATTGATTACCAATGATTACCATGTGGCTGTCCATGGACAGAAATGTTGAGAAGACATGGCCAATTCTTTTTCACAAGACATCTATGTTTTGAACTGTTTTGATACGACCATTCCACTACAACACACACAGACAGCACTGAGTTCCTTTCACTACTCAAGTTCAATCGCTTTGTCACAGTCTAGCGGCAAGCGTTACTTCTGTTTCATGAAGTAGTATGTTCTCTGCATGTCATCCGCCTTCCTTGTACATATCGATTTTAGATTCAGTTTTTTTCAGCTGTCGAGACTTCGCCAGTTGGTGGTTAAGATTCGACGATGACGGAAATCACGCTTTGTTTCCATTCTGAATTCAGCTGGTGGAGCTGACAGATCTGGCAGGCTCGCACCTAACTCTCTATGTGGACAGAGTAGCTAGCTTGAGTGAGAAGCAGTGCCTTGCCCCGCAGCCTGAGACGCTCCAAACCGCCAAGCAATGGAATTTTCTCATCATTTCATTCGTGTGTCGGGCCTGTAGGGCTTCTAGTTTTCTTTGATCACATTCATTGACACGATTACTAATGCTAAAGACATCTAAAGACCCTTCCTGCCACCTCTCGACGAACAGTGCAGCCAAGAAGTTCAGCCTGCGCTAAGGGCAGCATTCGTGATGCGAGATCTATTCCGTGCGGTGGCGTACATGCACAACTCGGGAGTTTCATGGTCAAGATTGAGTGACTACGGCGGGTCGCAAGCATTTTGCAGTCTTGAAGCGGTATCATTTCGTATCCAGCTGTTTCATGGGAGAGGTTCAAAGAAAACACTCTGCATCACAGCAGAGCAGACAAGCTATTGCACTTCCATTGAATGACATTGTCTTTTGCCACGTGTTCATACTTTGTTCTAGAGTTCCATGAGAGTGAAGTCTGAAGCAAGCAGGCTACAGGCATTGCATGTTTTACCATGTTTTACCATGTTTTACCAATTAAATCCATTATATGACATGTATGCTGAATTGAGCCGTACTCAGCGTACTCAGCTCTGTCAGTGGGTCAGTGCTTCTTGGACCAAGGTAGCCCATCGCAACTTAACTTGCAGTTTCTGGGAATGGGTTGTTTGCCAAAGCCGCAGTCCTTTCAAAAGCAGAATACGGACTTTGTGAAAATATGCCGGTATGAAAAATACATGAGAAAGGGTCAAAAGATGGTATGCAGGTATGTTCATATAGCCCGCCGTCACTTCGCCAATGTGTGATTTACGTTGATTTACTGCGAGAAGCGGTAGGGCGCTTTCAAAAGCGACACCATCCCGAAACATGGAGCTCCCAGTGTGTGGTACAATAGGGACCTTGAGGAGCGATACCCACAATTGATGACCATAGAACTAGTACCATGTTTTTACATGGCACACGTATGACAAGATGTTATGTAATATCAAGATAATGTTTCATGACACACATGCTTTACAACAATGCACTTTCATAATGAAGAGACAGACACATGCACAGACACCCAAGCTCCGTTGTAGGTGTTTATCTGTCTTTCAATCCACCTTGAACCAGTCAAATGTGCATGTCAACCGGTGTTATACGATATAATATATAATATGTATTCACATATGTATTTGTTTGTTATTGTTTTTCTATTTAATATATGTGCACCTGTATGCCTGTATATATATATATATACGTATATGCAACTATATGTGCATACATTCGCACACGCATTATATATATATATATAATATGTACATGTAGTATACATGACCCGTACATCTACTTCCGCTACAGTATATCGTTTGTTGTTGGAATGACCTTGAGGCAGCATGATTCAGTCTTCTTGTCGTTTTTAGCAGTTCCAGAGGCAAACAGCATGGCATCCATGCGCAAGCTGAGGTGATTTGAAGGGCGAGAACTGCCTCATGTTGACGCAAGCGCCGCCGGAGAGGACACTTGGCTGTCCCCTTTAGTCTGCACGGACAGGGGGCCAGTGTCCTCGGACCAAATCTAGGTTGCTTTGAATTGGGTGGAGACCTGTACAAGAAACGGTCCAAATCATTCTGTGGCTAAACGTGGCAATACGCAGTTATTATATCATACTATATCATACTACATCATACTATATCATACTATATCATACTATATTATAATATATATACGTATATATATATATATTACTATCTGTATCATTTATTTGGAGTCCCTGCGTTAAGGCAGTTCCATTCAGCTTCCGGTGCTTTCTGGATCCACAATTCTTGGGCCAGGAATCGCCTAAAACTCTGCGATTTCGGGTTGTGACTGGACTGCATCTTGGGATGGCACAGTTGATGGATCTCAGCCTTGGTACCATGACAAACGACAAAAATATGGCAAATATCTGCAAGACATGGAATGTTTAGGGATGTCCAAAGACGATTAGGGACGGCGAAATTCATGTATTTTGTAATTACATATGATTACCCCATCAACAGTGAATTAGAATTTAGAATCGTTTTCTTCCCCGTGAGAAGCATTTTTTTTCAAAGTTCCAGTCAGCTTGGTGCCGTCCATCCGTTTCATGCACTCAGGTCCACAACGTTTGAACCGGGTAGCTCGGCCAAAAGCGTGGTAGCTGTTTGAAGCTGTTTGCGTCTAGTCACGTCTAGAATCACAGAATATTTTTTCTCACTGAGGGAGAAGAAACCCCTCACCAATCAGTACCTGAGGAGTTTACATCCACCTGTTTTGGACACTGCTAATGTGATTTTTCACCGAGCCAGCTTGTGGCCTGTGGCAGAGGCTTGCCGTCCGAGGCAAGCCTTTGAGAGGACGAGTTGGTTCAGTGACCCATATTGCCCCAGAGGTGCTGACCAGCAACTTGGACACTGAGGGGATGTCTTTGTGATCTGCTTTCCTGTATAAGATTCCCCCTGTCATAGTGTAAGATCCCCTTGTCATCCTTGCTACAAACATCTTTTAAATACTTTTAACTCATCTCGATCATCTCGTAACAATGCGGTGAGAGAGAGAGAGAGAGAGAGATAGAGAGAGAGAGTTCGCAGCTTCAAAACTCATTTCTCTTCAACCTTTTTGTAAGCGGACATAAGAGAGCAATGGCAGTAATATTGCATGAAGACTTTCATTTTAAGATGATATATTGTTCTGTTGTTTGCTTTGCCCTAGGCTCTGAGAGCTACACATGCGCCATTGACAATTGGAGCGGCGGACTTAGTTCTCTCTGGAGATGTTCTACCGGATTATATAGGCTTTGAGGGTTTTCAATCTATTCCAGACATTTCTTTTTCGAGATGATTCATTACAACCCTGTGCCTTGTCCGTGCCCTTCAGATATGAATGGTTGCGAATGCTTTCTGATTCCAACAGTCCAATATTATAATATGCAAAACAGATATTCCACTACTATTCCTTTCTGGACGTTGCCTTCCCATGGCAGCTGGAAAGTTGGCTGTACATGCCCCTTTAAGGCGCCGGCATCATCTTCTATCACGTAATCTGCGGCTTTTTGCCTTTTCAGGACTGTGTCACATTGTGTCACCAAAGCCTCCCTGGGATCTGGGGCCATCAATGCTGAAAATGACATTTGTAAAGGAAGAGAAGGATGTGCTGAATGGCCGTCTCTCCTTCGCTGATCGACACTGGTGTATCTTGGCGGTCTTGGCGGAACATTTTTGGATGTTGATCTATCTGCTTGCGAGTTCGATTCGATAAAATTATTGAGATCTGTGAGGCAAATGATGGGAGACTTTCAATCTAGAAGTGTAAGATGACACAGGTGTACATAGTTTAAAACAACACATGAAAAAACAATCACATTTGCAAAAGGGAACTGCAAAAGGAGGGAGGGAGGGAGGGAGGGAGAGAGAGAGAGCCAGAGAGAGAGAGAGAGAGAGAGAGAGAGAGCGAGAGAGCGAGAGAGCGAGAGAGCGAGAGCGAGAGCGAGAGCCAGAGCCAGAGAGAGTTAGAGAGACAAGAATCTTTGTAGCCAGCAGCCCGTTGCATGCACAGATCCACAGACTGATCTGACAGACGTTGACTTCTGAGTCGTGAGTCTTTTCTTCTTTCATAGCTTGGCTCCAGCCGCCATGCCTAGGTGATGTCTCCGAAGGCCAGGGGCCAAAGCAGTGTCCACTCAAACTGCAAGATAGATACATTATTTGCAATGGGTCCATAGGTGGACCAGCATGGTACACTGACATCCCCCAAAGGCAGTTAGATCATAGGAGATACTTGGGCTCATTGTTGGATGCTACCATACATCAGAAGCATCAACGCGAACCCATGGTCAGAGTTTTTGTGCAAATGCTTCCTGCCCTGCCAGAATGCTGCAGCGGGGGGCCTCGGGGACAGCTGCACAGCTGGGTACTGCCTTTGAAGCACTGGGATCGTACCACACACACACAGACACACTTGGGCAGACAAGTCAAAGTAGAGGACCAACCAGAACATCACAAACTGCTAATTCCCAACAGCGAATCTATTGGGTTTCAATCTCTGGGGCCGGGGACTGGTGACACAAAAATGCACGCCCCGAAAAACCGGAACAGTCCTGGAACCTTGCTGGAACCTTTCGCTGTTGGGTTGCAAAGCTGGGCTAATTGTGGTCTGTGCTGAATGACTCATTCTATAGTGCCATTTGCTCTTTGATTTGCTGCTAAGGACTCGTTTCAAGTTTTGTTGAGAGGGATGCTGAGTGGGAGCCCGAGGGGGATGCCAGGAATTCCTAACTTTGAGCAAGGAGTCCCTCAAGGGCTTTGAGCATGTTTTGGCATTCCAATATTTCCGCATTTCGCAACCTGCGGCCATATTGTCCATGTTCCACAATCACAATGTGCGCAGCTTTCCCTGCTCAAGCTACTGTGCTTGCAGCTATGATTGCCTAAAAAGTTCACAGTTTAGCCCGCCAGGCTTGTCCATATTTGTTAGGTGAGTATTGGATTCAGATTTTGATTTTGGATTTTGGATTGTGGCGATTTCTTTTCAGTCACTGACCCCTTCCATACCCTTTGAACATATTGCAACCTGATTTCATAGGGAAGAAACATACACACCGCACCGACCCAAGCGAGAACATGTCAAGATGCAGAGGCTGCCGGATATCGGGTGGATTTTGGAACATGATCTCAGTTCCCACAGGGCAAGTGCCATTGGAACATCTGCCTCTTTGCGCTCTTGTCAGTTGTATAGTTATATAGCGATGGACAATTCCTCATCAGTAGATTTATTCTTCTTTTCAAATTGGGGATGGGTGAGTTCCCCCCCTTGTCATCTTATATAGATTGCCAGGAGATTACATCCAGTGACAAATGTGGCACTGCCAGATGATCGGGATGGTTCTGAATCGCCAACCCCGGAGTGGCGACGACCGCGAGGCGCCATGTCAGACATAAGATCCACGGTTTTGAATCTTTGAAGATATTAACAATAGGACATTAAGAAACAAGTGGTTTATCAGTGTTTATCAATGTTTATCATCATTTTCATCATAAGACAGCCAGCTGGGGTATGGTCCGCCATTATTGCACACCCTTTCAATCTTGACATTTGCACAGCCCCTGCTGCCTGCTGAGGTCCTGAGTCTCGCGAGGAGCAAAGACCGTCTCAAATCATCTCGAATCACAGAATTGAGCGGTAAGTGCTGGATAGTGCTGGATTCTCACTTAGGGAGAGAACTTGCAAAGTGAACGGTCAGCACAAGTCAAAGTGCCTAATATCCGGAGAACGTGCAGGAGGAAGTGGAGACAGCCGACTTCGGAGAGGAGGCTTGCAGGGATATTGTGGCTTCATGGCTTGGTGTAATATGGATGAAAAGATTGAAAAGAGAGAGGTTAGTTGTCAACTTGAGTTTAGGTGCTCTGTGATATTCTGTGATGGGTTCATGTTCTTTCGCCTTCCTTTTCTGCTTTGGTCCAGAACTATCGAAGCAAGAGCCGCCGCAAGGAGAGCTGACGCGACAATGCCACTGTGATTTTGCGTGTATCAACTGAAAGAAGGGATAGGTAATCACGAAAGGTAGCTCCAGAGGGGCTACCTTGAGTTTTACTTTACGAAGTAAAGGGGAGGGCGGCCAGCCCCGTTACCTGATTCTTCAGGAGATTGCTAGTCATTTTAGTACCCCCCCCCCGTGCCATTGACGGTTGGCGTCGATTTTGCGGCACCACTTCTTGTGCATGTAGGCAGGGTGGAATGGGTTAAGGTGTCTCGATACATTTAGCTGTAACCTGCAACTCTCTTTATACTGGCAATACTGCATAGGATTTATCTCCGGCGCCAAGCGCCACTTTCAGAGCATGGGTGCTTTGCATTGTGGCGCGCCTGGTCCATCGGCCTGACCATCGACCTGTCCATCGGCCTCATCGGCTCCATCGGCTCCATCGGCCCCAGCGGCTCCATCGGCCTCATCGGCTCCAGCGGCTTGAGCGCCCTCATCGGCTCCATCGGCCTCATCGGCTCCAGCGGCTTGAGCGGCTCCATCGGCCTCATCGTCCTCATCGGCCTCAGCGGCTCCATCGGCCTCATCGGCTCCATCGGCCTCATCGGCTCCATCGGCCTCATCGGCCTCATCGGCCTCATCGGCCTCATCGGCGTCATCGGCTCCATCGTCCTCAACATCGTCTTTCCCAGCGGCTTGAGCCGCCTCATTCGGCTCCCATCGGCCTCATGCCTCCAAGCGGCTTTCCATCCGGCTCCATCGCCATCGGCCTCATCGCTCCATCGGCCTCAAATTGGCCTCCTGCAGCGGCTCCATGCAGCGGCTCCATGCAGCGGCTCCCTGCAGCGGCTCATCGTCCTCATCGGCCTCAGCGGCTCCATCGGCCTCATCGGCTCCATCGGCCTCATCGGCTCCATCGGCCTCATCGGCCTCATCGGCCTCATCGGCCTCATCGGCGTCATCGGCTCCAGCGGCTCCATCGGCCTCATCGGCCTCATCGGCGTCATCGGCTGCAGCGGCTCCATCGGCTCCAGCGGCTCCATCGGCCTCATCGGCTCCAGCGGCCTCATCGGCTCCATTGGCCTCATCGGCCTCATCGGCTCCATCGTCCTCAGCGGCTCCAGCGGTCTCATCGGCTCAATTGGCCTGATCGGCGCCAGCGGTTCCAGCGGCTTCATCGGCATGTCTTTCTGGAAAGCCTATTACGGCCCGAAGCAGGCGGAATCAGTTGCGTCCATTTTGCGCCTATGGTTTGCTTCGCTGCCTTTTGATTAGTATTGATCCATAGCCTCTTGGCTTGCGATATAGCCTCCAAGTGTCGAACGTACGGCCCCCCCCCCACCCCCCCTCCACACCTCCCACGCACCCTAAGAGCAGACTCAAAACACTGTAATTTACAGTATTTTTGTTCTTTTCGGATCAAGAAACCACATTTTGCTACATGGTGAAACCTCCGTAAATACCAGTGTTTTTGCTAGGTGCTGGCCAAAAAACACTGTAAATACCGTGCTTTTTACTACCAGAGGCAAAAAACATCGTAAATACCGTGGTTTTGGGCTTCCGACCCGCCAAAAACATTGGTATTTACGGTGTTTTTTGCTCCGAGCGATGCAAAAACACGCGAAAACACCACCGATTTGACGATTTTCGGCCACTACGGAACCGAGCAAAAACGCTGCAGGGGTAACACCAACACCGACAAGAACAACACCAACAGCAACAGCAACAGCAACAACAACAACAACGACGACAACAACAACAACAACAACAACAACAACGCACAACGCACAACGCACAACGCACAACGCACAACGCACAACGCACAACGCACAACGCACAACGCACATCACACAACACACAAAACACACAAAACACACACAACACACACAACACACACAACACACACACAACACACACACACAACACACAACACACAACACACAACACACAACACACACAACACACACACACAACACACATACAACACACACAACACACACACAACACACACAACACACGCAACACACGCAACACACACAACACACACACACACAACACACACACACAACACACACAACACACACAATACACACACACACAACACACACAACACACACAACACACACAACACACAACAACACATAACAACACACCACAACGCACAACAACACACCACAACACACACCAACACACAACAACCACAACAACCACAACAACCACAACAACCACAACAACTACAACAACAACGAATGACAACAATAACAACAACAACAACGCACAACAACACACAACAACACACAACAAAACACAACAACACACAACAACAAACAACAACACACAACAACACACAACAACACACAATAACACACAACACACAACAACACACAACAACACACAACAACACACACAACAACACACAACAACACACCACAACACACAACAACACACAACAACACACGCAACACACAACAACACACAACAACACACAACAACAACAACACACAACAACACAACAACACACAACAACAACAACACACAACAACACACAACAACACACAACAACACACAACAACACACACACAACAACACAAACAACACACACAACAACACACCACAACACACCACAACACACCACAACAACACACAACAACACACAACAACACACAACAACACACAACAACACACCACAACACACCACAACACACAACAACACACAACAACACACAACAACACACAACAACACACAACAACAACAACAACAACAACAACACCATCAGCAGCAGCAGCAGCAACAACAACAACAGCAACAACAACAACAACAACACGAACACAAACAATACCAACACCAACAACACGACCAACAACACCAACACCACCAACAAACCCAACCACACCAACAACACAAACAACACTAACAACACCAGAAACACTACCACCACCAACAACACCAACAACACCAATACCAACAACACCAACAACACCAACACCAGCACCACCAACACCACCAACACCACAACCGCCACCAACCCCAACCACATCGCCGAAGCCTTTCAGTCGCTTTTACCAGACTCCCCTTCATATTTTTGGAAAGAAACTGGCCGCGTCGCTTTTACCAGACTCCACTTTATGTTTTTTTCCCTGCCCTCTCCCCTTCATTTTTTCTTCGGTTCCTTTCTTGCTTACCTACCTTTCGTGTTCCCCCTCTCAAGTTAATTTATATGAATTGTATGAGTCATGCAATTGTGCAATCGTGATGCACATGGATATGGACACAATGCATAGGCATCATCATAGCATCTAGGCTACACACACACATGCGTGCACACAATGTTATATTTCATCCCACACTCATATCATATGAATCATATGGATATATTCATGTTTTCATATGATTCATATGTATATGCAACTGATTGCAAAATGATTGCAAATGCATGAGTGTATGAATGTGTTATATAATGTTATATATATATTATATACATATACATATACATACATACATACATATATATATATATATGTGTGTCCTTTACCTTGCGCATGTTGCCGACGTTTTTGTCAGGACCCGTCGCCGGACGATGCTCCATGGTGGCTCCGCCGAGGGACGGCGCGTCAGGCGAAGCACGAGGATCGGCGAAGTGCTTCGCCTGCTTCGCCTTCGCCCGAGCCTACACCCTGGTGGATGCGACGGGGCACCGGCTTGGGATGGCAGCCAAATGGTGAGGCCTGAGGTTTGGGAGCCAAAAACACTGAGAGACCAGGAGAGATGATCGAGGTTTCATCAGGATTGAAAATAACAGGATTTAGATGGTACAGATAGGTATATAGTATATATAGATTGAGGAAGAGAGAGAGAGAGAGAGAGAGGCACACAGACACAGAGACAGACAGAGACAGAGACAGAGACAGAGGTAGAGACAGAGGAGATATATGCACTGATTAATGCCAACATCGGATTAATCAACCCTCCCCCCCCAGAAGGTCAGAACTCTACCTTGTAGGTCATTTTCTTGACCCCCTCCCTTAATAATAAGCAACTCTGAACCATAAAACTTTGGATATGGCTTACGTCAATTAGATCTTAATAGAATTCCACTGGATTTGTTAAAATCTCATGGATCAGAAAGGTGGTTGATTAATCAGGGGCAAACCGTGGTTATTATGAATGGGGGACATGGGCTCATGGGGGGTACCCTTTGGGAGCTATCCAAACTGATGATTTTTATAAAGATTTTAATTAGAAATCGATCATTTGGGGAATAGTTGTTTTTTGAAATTTTCAATGATCAACTCAAACCTTAAGTACAACAATGATGATAAAAAAAGGTAAAAAAAACAATTGGAAATAAATAGAGTTGGAAATACAAATTCTTGGATAAAAAATGGATTTCAGCAAAGGAGGTTGATTAATCATGTCCCAGCCAAACGGTTTATTAATCCTGGGGGACCACCTTTTTTTAAATTACATTTTTTTTTGGGGGCAGAGGGGGTTGATTAATATTGCGGGGCTTATTAATCCTAACTTGACATTATTATTACTACTACTATTACTATAATATATATATAGGCTTGATTCAATTCCGTTAGATAAGATAGAACACATTGTGCAAATATGGACTTTGCAGTTGCATTCTAGATTTTGCTTCATCTAAAGCACACAGTCACACACACAGAGAGACAGACACACACTCACTGCACACACACACACATTCTTGAAAATGAACGAACGAATGAACGAACGAACGAACGAATGAAACGACATGCAATGAAGTGAAATGAAATGAGATACAATAAGAACGAAGAATGAAAGAATGCATACGAGCATGTAAGTTCAGTGACAAATTTAATCAATACTCAATACATCTCAATACAATGACCTGCTGACCCACCAGTCGGTCCAAGCACTTCTCTGGCAGGGTGCCCCACCGAAGGATGAGGTCCTTAGTGGAGAGGACCACTGCACAAGGGCAACAGTCCACCAGTTGCTGTGCAGTTGGAGCTCTGGTGTTTTGTGACACGGTGACAGTACTTGCAGGACACGCCTCCTTTACCCAAGCAAGAGCAGGATGACGAGGGAAGCATTACACCACCTCTGCCGGATGAAGAAAGTGAGACGCCACCCTTGGAGGAGCCAGAGGCAGTCAGATTGTCAAGGGAAGCCGAAGCATCAGAACTTTTCATCAACCATCATCTACCACTGCCTAATCAATTGAATCCATTTATTTTGCGTGATCACGTATATCATTCACATAAATAAATAAATATATATATATATATATGTATACACGTCTACACGTCTACACGTCTACACGTCTACACGTCTACACGTCTACACGTCTACACGTCTACACGTATACACGTATACACGTATACACGTATACATGCATACATACATACATAGATGCATTCTTACATACATACATACATACATACATACCTACATACATACATACAGACACACACACATACATACATACATACATACATACATACATACATACATACATACATACATACATACATACATACATACATACATACATACATACATACATACATACATACATACATACATACATACATACATACATACATACATTAATACATAGATACTAGATACATAGATACATACATAGATACATAGATACATAGATACATAGATACATACTAGATACATAGATACATAGATACATAGATACATAGATACATAGATACATAGATACATAGATACATAGATACATAGATACATACATACATACATTCATACATTCATACATTCATACATTCATACATTCATACATTCATACATTCATACATTCATACATTCATACATTCATACATTCATACATATGCACATACATACGTACATTATATTATTATATATACACATTATATATATATACGCATTATATTTGCGTATATATATTTATTTATTTATTTATTTATTTTATACCTATATACATATATGCACATGAATAAATTTTGATTTATATACATCATCATTTATAATCATTACATGTATGAAACTTGGTAAGATCATGTAAAGTCCTCGCATGTCATCCATGGGTTCCGAGTGGTTCCACTCAATTCCCATTGACGGAGCTCCGCAGGGAAGCTCGGTGCCAGAGCCTTTGCGACCACCAAGACGGGAGAGGTGGGAGACATGGAAAATCCACCATGTCAATCCATTGGATATGGTTACCATATAATAACCATATAATATTCTCATCTATCCATCCAGAATATACCCAAGATACATTTGGATATGCAATGCATTTTGCACATTGTGCGTATGGGAGAAAAGAAACAGGGACTTTACACCGCTTGGGTGCCGCGCCTGCCGTGGGCTGCCTGTCTGGAAGGCTGCTAATGCCACCGCAGCCACCTCCAAACAGAGAAGTGGAAGGCATGGTATTGCAGGCAGAGAACCGCAGGGAACACAGGATTCCCAAATCCAGCTGATGCAGAGTTTCTGCTTGTTACAAATCCACCTTTGATTCAATTCCATATACTTCAATCATTTCAAGATTCTTTGAGACTTGGAGATCACGGAAACATCAATTCAAAGATGGCAGTGAATCACTGAGCATTCCATTTTTTGATCAGCTCAAACGGCTCAAACTGCACAAGGCACTACGAGAGAGGGATCCCACCATCCCTGACAGTTGGCCCGCGATAGTTGCAGCAGCCTACGCGAATCTCGGCTGAAATTGGCTCCATCGAAGTAGACTGAGGATGTATATGTTTCATCAGCTCTTTTTTTCATTTTTTTCCACAACTGGTGCGCCGGATGACAGCTTCTGAGCCAGGAATGAGATGGACAGTATCCAGTGGCTGATTGGTTCCAAGGTGCCAGTTCTTCCCACATTTACGGAGGGCCACAGGTAGATATATGTATATAGCCAAAAAAACAGTACGTGTGTGATGTGTGATATATATATATACATATATGTGTATATATATATATTATACATATAAGCATAACACATTACAACTCCCATACTCCACTTCCAAAGCCCCGAAAGGTGGGAGGATTGGGATGGATTTGGCAAGGAAAGGAACTTTGACAATTTGACGGTTATTCTAGTAGGAGCTACCACTGCTACTTGAAAGTTCATTTCCTGCGCGGCGCGCGGTCTCTGTGGTTCGTGACGGCAGGCTGATGTGAATGCCATCACCTCGTCAAAGTCCACTGCGTTATGGCATGCTGTCATCAGCTCAGCATGTGCAACCCCGTCTCTTTTGCGTTTGTTGAGTATTCAGGGCCATCGAGCTGCTGAGCAGAAAGGATCATCTATGATAGCCCCAAAGAGTTTTCGTATGGCGCATTGTTGGCGCTGAGTCCATCTTGTTGCCGGCAGTTTTACAATTGCTTCTCTCGTCTTGCCATGTGTAGGTCAACAATCAGAATGCGCACCTTGGTTTGCACGAGCGTCTCACACTCCAAAATTATTATATATTTAAACGGATTCAACAATGATTGTAGCGTACGTTGATGTAATGTGACATAATGTAATATGATGTAATGTTATGTTCTCTAATACCTTAAGTATATTTGCAAGGCAATGCAGGGTAATGTAGATATTTGCAGGCCTACACGTGTTCAACTAGTAGCAGAAAGCAGGATAATGCAAGCGGATAATTATGCAAGCAGATTATGCAAGCAGATTATGCACATACTTTTCTTCAAGATGTATGAATTTGTGCATGTTCTTTTTAGTAACATAATTATTTTGCTAGTTGGCTGCACCTGACTTGATTTATGCCAGATGGTGGCACAGTGCACGGCTGGAATCCTTCGTGACTTAGTTAGATCTGCCAATCTCTGATCCCAATTTCTTGCATCCGCTTGCATCGCTGAGGGGTATGGTTCACTGCCTCCTAGAAGCACGAGCCGATCCAAATCACACGAAGAAGAATGCCAAAGGCGTCAGGCTTGGATTTGCGCCAGCTTGATCCTGCTGTGATTTATATTGCTTCCATGGAGAGGCGTTCTTTGCTGGACATAGCCAACAATGATGGAGCCCCTCCGCCCATCGTCAACATGTTCCTCGACTTTGCAGTTGGGATTGGCCTTGATATGCCTTGATAATCGAGTACAATCAACTTACTGGTACTTGGTAGGGAATGGGGGAATGGGGGAATGATCCACAATAGCAACAGTACTAACAATCATCACATTCCCCCATTCCCTATTAAGCACCAGTAGTCAAGTTCACTTTTGGCTCAGTGTGATCCCATGTGATGATCATTCCGAATCGACTGTTCTGCAAATCTTGACTGTATGAACTGGTCCAAGGTTGGAGATAGCAGGTGGCCTTCGCAACAAAGATTTGGACGGGGATGGTCAACCGATGCCGGTTCTTGTTGGACATGATGAGACTATACATGGTTATATCATGTTATATCATGTTATATCCCTAGTCTACGGTACTTCTGCTACAGAGAGGTCTTTCAGATTCTTTCAGATTGATGATACGCAGTCAGGAATGGTTTGGCTGCTCTAGGCACAGCAAAGCATGGGTGAAGCTAAGTATATGTACGTACATGCATTCCGTACGTACATTCCGTACCCATACGTACGTGTATATATATACAATTATACACACACACATATATATATATACACACATATATATATATATTATGTACATATACATACATTTAGCAAAGCACACTGCTGAAAGGTTTGGGGAAGCACGGGCCAATTTTTGTCTTCGGGTCATTTTGTTTGAGCCACGTTCAAAACCCAGTTGTTCATTCTTTAGTAAGGGGGATGCACAAAGGACCTCGCGTAAGCAAAACCCTTTTGTGAGTAAGCATGTGTAAGCATCAGCGTAAGCTATTCCTGCGCGTAAGCCAAACTGTGGGCGCATAAGCGGCGCGTAAGCTCCGGTGTAAGCATTCCCCTAGCGCCTCCCTTAGCGCCTTCAGAAAGACAAGACCCTTTGACCACGGCTCAATTTTCCCCTGTGACCATTTCATCCTTTGCAGGAGCGAGGCCGACAGGCAAAACGCCCGTTTGACTCGGAGATGCTGGCCGCAGCAGCAGCAGATCCTCTGCTCAAGAGGGTTTTCTCGTACTCAAGTAGTAGTTTGACATAGTTTGACCATGTTTGACCATTGTTATCATGGTTTAATATACGAAATTCTTGATGACCCGTGGGCCGAGTGAAGGTATGCCAGGTACGCCACTAGGTTCCACCAGTCATGTGAGGAAGCTGGAGGACCTCGAAAGCGGCCACGCTTTCGCCAGATTGTCGGGGAGGTTCGGGATGGCTCGGGGGCATTCTGCGTATTTTGGATCTGCAGAATGGCAAACCAAGCATGTGACATGGAAAAGCGCCAGAGTTTTTTTTAGATTGCACGTACATCAATTTCTTAAGATTTCTTAAGCATTATTTTAAGGACCATGTTTCATTTCTATTGTGACTTTGCTGTGCTTTTTGCATTGGATCCAGGACGACTCCTTCCACAGTATGCTGACAAGAATACGGGACTTGGATCCGAAAAACGAACCATCCTCTCCATCCACACCGCCCTTGGAAGCTTCAGCTTCAACAGCGTGAGCAGTGTGATAGCAAAGAAAATTAAAGCGTCATGCCAAGTGAGCACTAAGCAAAAGAAGGTTTGAAATCTCAGCCAACAAGCTGCTGGACAGAATCCTCGGGCATGGGCTGAAAGAACATGAAATATATAACTCAATATTCCCAAATTGCCTGGAAACACTTGCAGGATTCATGTACATTATTTGCATTCACAATTGTAGCCAAGCTGCTTCATGGACACCCACCAGAACTTTGTATCGCAAGAAATGCTTAGCCGGTCATGTATTGGGTCAACAGCTGTCCATGAGAAACCAAGGACTCAAGGCCAGGGAGAGCATATGCCGAAAGATCTGCCTTCAAAAAGGCCTACGCCAGAAAGTGTTTGGACTGCAGGGGTTGTAGCGGCGTAGCGGGTGTGGAAGATGGCTGCACTCTGGGTGGAGACACTGATGTAGATGATGTAGCTCTTTGCGAAGCTGAATGTGGCTGAGGATGTTACCACTTTCTGGCGAGAAGCCCGTGCTGGACTTCTCTGCCTACAGCACTGCGTACAACACCTCAGTCACCACGAATGTTCCTCGGCTGCCGCATCCTTGTGCTGCCGCCTGCCCGTGTGTTTAGATTGACGCTGGCATGGTATTGGCAAGATGGTGTTTCCTTCAACGATTTGAATATCGTGATATATGAAAAAAATCATAATATATGATAATATATGATAATATCTTATATAATTAGTTGGATTCAGGTTGAATTTGAGGCTCCTGTTGCAGTTGAGGGGTGAATATGGTGAGTCAGTCATGACCCCGTCTCCAGGACCGTCCTTCCTTGTCAAGGCCACTGTCACAGGCTGAGGCAGATGGGGCCAGTTGGCCACTTTTTGGAGGGCATTACAACCTATGCGGGTGGATCATAATATGTCAAGAACTACACTACACTATAATACCAAGATTGGAAAGATGAAGATCGATTTTTGAGGTCCACTTATGTCCACTAGGTCACTAGGGTAGGATCTTTGACCACAGCCATCCACCAGAAATCCCCTTCATAGACCTACAGAGGCACCGAGGCGGCGCATGTTTGCTGGGATAGAGATCCCTGGAGTGCGTGGCTTGCGAGGTCACGAGGCTCGGCGTTCCCGCAGAGGGGTCCAGGATGGATCGAACTTCTTCGGTGTTTAAAAAAACCATACTAAAAAAAGGAATGGAAATCAATGGAATACATAATACATGAGAATGTTTATGTGTATTGATATGTGTATGTTATTTCACCGGTGTGGGATGACGGTCCCATTTCTTTTTTTTTGCCTGGTTAAACCACCAACCAGTTCCGATTCTTCCAAACCTCTGTGCCGGAAAACATGGTAGCCGCCAATGATGGCTTCGAGTGAGCTGCCCAGCTGCAGCCGAATTGTTTTCGGCGTTGCTTCAAGTTGCTAGAGATGTTGATCTCCATGTTCCATCAACATTGAGTGATGATGTTCAATTTAAGAATGACCTATCTATATAATCTATCTATCAATAGAATCAATCGAATCAATCAAATCAATCTAATCTATTGATCTATTAATCTGTGACTCTATTAATCTATACTATAAATCTATAAATCTATCAATCTATTAATCTATCAATCTATCAATCTATCAATCTATTAATTTATCAATCTATCTCTAGCTATCTAGCTATCTAGCTATCTAGCTATCTAGCTATCTAGCTATCTATCTACCTATCTACCTATCTACCTATCTATCTACCTATCTACCTATCTATCTATCTATCTATCTATCAATCATTTTTGTTACTAAATCTGAGGCCTCAGGGCCGTTACAGAATGGTTTTTGGTTACCATTTTGTGCAAAATTTTGACCCTGGGTTCTGCCATCTTGTAAGTGGACCCCCCCCTGGTACCGGAATTTTGCATTGGAAGTGCGAGTTTGTTACCCTCCAGTCCCGACCATTCTGTCGGAGTCTGGAGGGCTAATCAACAACCATTAGAAATTGGATGGATTCAAAGCGTAGATGAAGAATGCTCAACTATAGACCCCACAATCTGGTTAGATAGAATGACTAGAAGACACATCCATTTTTCATTTTATTTAGTTTTATTCTTTTTTATTTGCTTTGGTGGCTGTGCTTGCTTCAGTTGGTGTCCCGACGTGCATGTGAGTTTATGTGTTTCACATTGAGCGCAGTCTTGGACTCCATTGCTCATGGAAGAAGAAGAATCAAATGTAGAATTTTGTGCATCAAGTTTTGTGCATAAATGTAGAATTTAATATATCTATATTAATATATATATATATATCGATATTTGTATTTTTTGATTATGACATCCAACTGCTGGAAAATATCTCTTAGACATATTGGTACGTTGTATTCAAAGTTTAGTTTGGCCACTCATACAGCATCACGCGAAAACAGACTGATGAACGCGAAAGAACGGGAAAAATGAACCGCGACTCGGGTTGGCCGGGCTGTTGCAGGTTACTGCCTAGGGATCCTAGGATAGTGCGAGTATAGCCACCCCCAGTCCCCACCATTCTGTAAAGGGAAAATCGAGCGAACGGATGCGAGCGGATGCGAGTCGAGCAAAATCGGGGTACCATTTTGTAACTAGGGGTCAGCTTGGACTGCCATTTTGTAACAAAAAGCTTCCTCGGTGAACGTTGGGTTCTGCCAACTTGTAAGAAGGGCACCTTGGGGACGCCATTCTGTAGTTACAAAATGAGGCTCCCAACCCCTCGGGTCCAATCTGAACTCAATCTCTCTATCTCTCTATCTCTCTATCTCTCTATCTACCTATCTACCTATCTATCTATCTATCTATCTACCTATCTATCTATCTATCTACCTATCTACCTATCTACCTATCCACCTATCTATCTACCTATCTATCTATCTATCTACCTATCTATCTATCTATCTATCTTTCTTTCTTTCTTTCTTTCTTTCTTATCTATCTTATCTATCTTATTTATCTTACCTATCTCATCTATCTTATCTATCTTATCTATCTTATCTATCTTGTCTATCTTATCTATCTTGTCTATCTTATCTATCTTGTCTATCTTATCTATCTTATCCATCTTATCTATCTCATCTATCTTACCTATCTTATCTATCTCATCTATCTTATCTATCTTATCTATCTTATCTATCTTGTCTATCTTATCTATCTTGTCTATCTTATCTATCTTATCCATCTTATCTATCTCATCTATCTTACCTATCTTGTCTACCTTATCGGTCTTATCTACCTTATCTACCTTATCTACCTTATCTACCTTATCTACCTTATCTATCTTATCTGTCTAATCTATCTAATCTATGTTATCTATCTTATCTATCTTATCTATCTAATCTATCTAATCTATCTCATCTATCTCATCTATCTCATCTATCTCATCTATCTCATCTATCTCATCTATCTAATCTATCTAATCTATCTATTCTAATCTATTCTAACCTATTCCAATCTATTCTTCTATCTATTCTTCTATCTATTCTTCTATCTATTCTTCTATCTATTCTTCTATCTATTCTTCTATCTATTCTTCTATCTATTCTCCTATCTATTCTTCTATCTATTCTCCTATCTATTCTTCTATCTATTCCTCTATCCAAAAAATTCTTCTGTCCAAATGTTCTGGTATCCACATATTCTTCTATCCAAATAGTCTTCTATCCAAATATTCTTCTATCCAAATATTCTTCCTTCTATCTATCTATCTATCTATCTACCTACCTACCTATCTATCTATCTACCTATCTATCTATCTATCTGTCTATCTGTCTATCTATCTATCTATCTATCTTTGGCATCTATCTATCTACTGTATCTATCTACTGTATCTACCTACTGTATCTATCTACTGTATCTATCTACTGTATCTATCTACTGTATCTATCTACTGTATCTATCTACTGTATCTATCTACTGTATCTATCTACTTTATCTATCTACTCTATCTATCTACTCTATCTATCTATCTATCTATCTTTTGCACCTATCTATCTACTGTATCTATCTACTGTATCTATCTACTGTATCTATCTACTTTATCTATCTACTCTATCTATCTATCTATCTTATCTATCTTTTGCATCTATCTATCTTTGCATCTATCTATCTTTTGCATCTATCTATCTACTGTATGCATCTATCTATCTATCTATCTATCTATCTACTCTATCTATCTACCTACTCTATCTATCTATCTACTGTATCTATCTATCTACTGTATCTATCTATCTACTGTATCTATCTATCTACTGTATCTATCTATCTCCTGTATCTATCTATCTACTGTATCTATCTATGTACTGTACCTATCTATCTACTGTATCTATCTATCTACTGTATCTATCTACCTACTGTATCTATCTATCTACCCTACCTATCTACTCTAATCTACTCTAATCTAATCCAATCCAACCTAATCTAATCCAATCCTAACCTAATCCTAATCTAACCTAATCTAAATCTAAATCAAACCAAATCACATCTAATCTAATCTTAATCTTAATCTAATCTTAATCTTAATCTAATCTAATCTAACCTAATCTAATCTATCTACCTATCCCACCTATCTATCTCATCTATTTCATCTATCTCATCTATCCCATCTATCTCATCTATTTCATCTATCTCATCTATCCCATCTATCTCATCTATCTCATCTATCTCATCTATCTCATCTATCTCATCTATCTCATCTATTTCATCTATCTCATCTATCTCATCTATGATATCTATCTCATCTATCTCATCTATCTCATCTATCTCATCTACCTCATCTTTCTCATCTGTCATATCTATCTCATCTATCTCATCTATCTCATCTATCTCATCTATCTCATCTATCTCATCTATCTCATCTATCTCATTAACTCATCTATCTCAGTGTCTCATCTATTTCAGTGTCTCTCATCTATCTCACCTATCCATTTATCCATCTATCCATCTATCCATCCATCCATCGATCTATCTATCTATCTATCTATCCATCCATCTATCCATCTATCCATCTATCCATCTATCCATCTATCCATCTATCTATCTATCTATCTATCGATCTCTCTCTCTCTCTCTCGCTCTCTCTCCCTATATATATATATACATACATATATATATATATATATTTATGCATACATACTTATGCACACATATGCATTTATAGATGTCCATATACTTAGCAGTGCCCATTTTGCGCCCACCTGGATCCCAGGCAGAACGCTGGCGGAGAGGCATGGGTTTCGACTTCGAACTGACGAATGCCGAAGATAAACCCGAGGTTTTGATGGCGCCTTGGCACAAAGATACACATTGATGTTTGTAAATTAATTTATAGGATCCACCATCCCCAATTTCCCATAAATGAAATGAATGGTGGTATAAACCATGAACATATGGGTGGTTTATGACATTGTTTTTCTGACATTAGTGAATCATGTGAAATATGCTTTCATCGGCCCTTCATTCCTATATCAATATCCTTTGAACAGTCCTTAACTTGCAAGACAAAGGTCAGCAAAGATCCAATTGCAGGAGTGGACGTGGACGGGGAAAATTATACAATCAAACTGATGAGATGGGGTCTATCCTATCATCAGACTTGCCATTTCGCAATCGTGCTTAGTTTGTTTTATCCTATTTTTACTCTTCATTTAATGGCCGATGGTTCAATTTCAGTTTGAACTGCAACTGGTGAACCAGTTTCGTCCAGTTTCAAAACTCAAGACAAACATGCGTGCCCTGCTGCCCGCTGCGCACCTCAGTCGCTGAGGATCCTTGGGGCTGTTCTTTGGCTGGGAAGCACACATCGAAGGAGTCGGAGGCGCCGGAGGCGCTGGAGGCTGATGGCCCGCAGTTTTCTCAGGAGCGGCTACCTCCCAAGCGCATGCCCGCGCCGCCGCGAGTACCACTGAAGGCGATGCCACCACCGCCCCCACCGAAGGCGATGCCAGCAATGCCGGTGCCACCTGCCATGGCAAACCCACTAAGCCCTCCAAAGAGTCAACCACCTGGGCACCTTTTGACAAATCACCCAAGTCACTTGGCAGAGAATAGGAAGTCAATGGAAGTGACAAGTGGAAAAACCAATAATGTAGACTGAGCGTTACAAACGCACAACACGGCAGGCTAAGGCATGTGAATGCCTAAAGCAATGCTAAGGCAGGGAAGAAAGTGGCCAAAGCAGTCACACAGAACCAAGAGTTGGAGAAACTACAGGCCAAAACTTTGCAGTCATGATGATGGACGGTCCTGGGAAAAGGGTGGACCACATCAAACATGATTACAGGATGCTTGACGATTACATAGAAGTCATAGAAGTATTAATTTTCTCGTGAATCTCTCGCGTCAAGAGCAGCAATACCCTCAAGCCATCTAAAACCTTCAGTCAGCTACGCATCCCAAGTGAAACTGTTGAGGCGGTGCCAATGCTATTTCTGAACCTTCCGCGCTTGTGTCTTGATTAGAATGGCATTTGTGCGTACACGCGCACGCGCGCACAGTGGCCATTTATGTAGTTTCTCCCGAAGCAAATCGACTCTCCCGCAGTGAGCTTTTGTCCCGATATCCCAAGGTAAAGGCCAAAGCTATGCCTCGCAAGCCAGAAGGTGCGGGGCGCTGAGATGCTCTGTGCCTGGGTGTTCAAGACTGGGTGCAGGCGATGGATTTGCAAGTGGCAGCAAAGAAGCGGGGTTCACTTCAACAGGTGCGGTGCTTTGCGAAGTCAGGGTGGCAGTGCTACATGGAGACTGAATTCATCAAAATTCCATGGCTTTCCGGCTGTCCATGCTCTCCTTTGCAGGAGCCTCGCAGGTGCCCCAGCCACCGGAATCATGTGCAGGTCCCTTGGCAGGACTACCATTGAGCAGAGCCCCAGCATCACCAGCCAAACCGCGGAATCCAAGAATTCATAAGAATTCTGTTCAATATTTGGGGTGTCTCGTTCCCACTTGTTGTAAGTGCAACATCCTGGAGTTGCCGTCCTCATGCTTTTTGCCAGAGAGCGTACTCGGATTGTGGCTTGAAACTTGTTTTTTTTTGAATGAATCTATTTCTATTTCTTTCTTTATTTGGCATCTCTACTCAGGATGACCCCCACAACTATCCATAACTTATTGCTGTCTTTCACGGCAGTTGTAACCACCCATCATCATCAGCTAAAGCTTCAACCGCTAAATTGCAAGGCCTGGCGGACCTTCCAAAGTTGCTTGAAGAAGGCCCGATGGGACGGACCAGCTTGGACCACTGGATGTAGGATGCCAGTTGGATAACGCTGCTGCATGCTGCTGCCACCAGTCACTTCTCATCCTGAAATCTCCTGCAGGTCAAGACAGGGATGACGAGGCTGCAGAGGAAGAGCTTCCTAAGAAGGCGCGACGCTCATGAGATTCTTGTATCAATGGGAACTTGTCACTTCGGCGCACATAGGTCTATAGATGTCTATAGTATACATTCGAAGATACCAGTATTCTAAGATGTCGCAGCGGATCCTAAAGATTTCTATAGCTTCAGAATCTTGCTGCTCGTGCCGGCTTGTGCCACGCAAAGGCTGCGCAAACAAAGGCAGCAGCTGCCGCAGTCGCCTTCTCCCCAATGAATGCACTCATGGGTTTAGAGCAGCAGGAGCTGGTGACACTGTCGATTTTCTTCGGAAGATTTCGCAAGCTGCAGGTGATTGGGTGCGATGCTCTAACCTCTAACTGCTGCCAGGACAATGACCTTTTGAGGAGGCAAATGAATATAGTAAGAGAAATGGTGCCGGCCTTAGCATCTTTGCACCTGCGCCATCTTTGCGGCCTTTGCTAATGGCATTGGCATGGCCAGTAGCGAATATGAGCCCAGAAAGGGAGAGATATCCAAGATCCCATTCATTCCCATTCCTTGAAGTTCCCAGAAGGGAATCGAGCTCAGGCTGGGGGATCAAAGTTTCATGATCCTGCTCGTGATCCATCGGCTTACCGAAAGCAAGCGCAGCAGCTCGGTGCCTGCACTAACCGCAAATCAATATGTTTTTTTTTGGGAAGTTCATTGGCAGTGCTTTGCTTCTGTCATTCCACCGAGGAACATGTGTCGCTTAGCTTATGCTGGATGGTGGTGCGGGGAGAACTAGGAGAACTACATGAGGGAACATGAGCGGACTGACCGGCGCTCTTTGAACAATTCTACAATTTCACCCAACAGCTCTACATGCAATTGCAGATGTAGCACGCAGCTGCACAGATCGAGGCCTTTTCAGTTAATCATATTATGCACAACATTGCATGGTGTAAACGGATCTATGAATCCATTGAAATCAGCCAGAATCCTATCCGCTGGATGCAGGCGGGAACCTGCCCACATTTGCCACCTAGGCTTGATCGAGGTGAGTCAACTGAAGTTCTGCCACAAAGATATCGGCCTGGAGCTTTGGTTGCTTCGAAACTGGAAACATGCCCGGGCAAGGAATTTGAGCATCGATCAAAAGCCCTCCCACATTCTGTTGTTTGTTGTGTTGAACTATGTTGAAATCCTTTCTCTTGGGGAACGCGTGGAACAGGGAGCAACTGCACCGTTGTTCTCCGTTGTTCCGGGTGTGGTACAGTCAGTAAGGTCAACGTTTTACCCATGGCAGACACCGTGGCCAGCCGGTGCTGAAGCTATTGGAGGACTGTGTTTGCCAGTATGGTGTTTAGCTTTGACCGACGGCCGATCCTTCTGGAAGTCCATGAGTTTCAGCGGTGCCCTTTGTAAATCAGAAAGGAACAAGTCACCCCAGCTGAGGAGCTCCATGCTCGGCGAGTGGATGCAGAAGAGCTACCACCCCTTGTCGTGATGCGTAAGGAAAACACCTTGCAGCTTGACATCATTTGACATCGCTTGACGCAGGGCATGCATATGGCACGCAGGGGTGGCAAGCTCCAATTTCAAGCCATCAGCTAAGGCAAGTGGTTTGCGGAAATCGCAGACTTTATTGTTTGAAGAGGCCGAACCGTGCTGCGGCATCAAGATGTGATAGATTCTGATACCATGGATGCCTATAATTACAGTATTATAATTCACATTGATTCACCAGGAGATGATTGTTCGCAGCGGAAGTCACACGGTCCCACTGATTCCTCAAGCTTGCAGGTATGCACTTGAAGCCTCACGCGCGGTGAATGTATGGTGCGTCGTGTACGACCTGAAATCGAAGGTGCCCCCATCTGACAGGAAGATACTCAGAGGATCTCAAAGGTCAAGGTAGTTGACGGCACTGGATTTGAATTTTCCTGTGGCCATTCATGGCATGTGGATGCCTTTGACATGTTTGATTTTGAAGTTTCACATGCTAAAATGATGATGCCTGACAGGAAACTCCGCGTCCGTTGGTCTTCAAGATACTCGGTGAGTATCGGTCTGTGGATGGAGCATCATGTACCGTACATGATGATATGCATAAGTGCAAATATGTAATTACACACACATACATACAAACACACACACATATATATATCACATGCATATGTAACATATGTATACATATATGTATACATATGTATACGTATATTCGTGTATATATATAAATATATATATAGTTTATTAATCATTTTTTAGTGGGTATTTGCTATGACACCATGCAATGCACCACTTCTTTTGTTGTGTATCATGGGTATGCCGTCAAAGATGCCCCGATGCTGAAAAGTTGGATTACTTATATAGCCATAAACGGGGATGGTCATCCGGTCCCATGGTTAATACAAGGGGTTCAGATACCAATTGTAAATTGCAAGGAATCCTTCATGGTGGTGCAATGACCATACATGCGAGATACCATGTTTTGATCATGGCACAGATGTTCCGCGTTTTTGTTTTCAGTTCTTGTGGACTCCCTTGCATTCTCCTGTGTAATATATACCAGCATCCGAAAGATGATTTCTTATTGCCGAGGTACATTCTGGCAACCACCACTGAGGATTCCGATAGAATAAGTGCCCGGCAAAGGTAGCTCTGGTGCGATTGGCACAGAATGGCACAGTAGCCCATTGGCCCTTGGCAGATGAAACCTGTTTGCCACTGGCACAATGTCAGCTCCCGGCTACCAGACGCGTGCTCCGAACAAAAAGAGAGCTTTGTCGCAGAGACAGCTCGATTTGCTGGCTGGGTCGTGCACATGACCCCAGAAGAACAGAAGACGGAGATCCGAATTGCCCCAAATTTTGTGGCTGATCAGATCTTTGTGGTGCTGAGGAAGAGGCTTTCTGCCAAGGATGCATTGTCCCACAAGTGGCTCCTTGAACATGTCAAGGACAGCTGTCAAGAGGTCAGATGCTTTGTTGGAAACTTCGGTAAAACCGAAAACACACGATCTTCAATTTTGCACAGAAATCGTTGGTATATATATACTTTTTTTAAAAAACAATTGGGTTTACCAGATTGACGCTTTTAGATGCTTTTAGTGGTTTGCCACCTCTGCAAGAAACTTGCAGAAGTTTGAGAGAGTGTTCGGCTGCACAGTCGGAATGTTGCACATTCACGGTTTCTTCCTTGAGTTATATATATATATATTATAGTCGCAGAAGATGCCATGACAAGGAACTAACTATAGTTTTTCGTAGCATTCTCGCTCTGATGGTGCTTCCTGGGTATGTTGCGCCAATCCGGTTCAGACTATCTGGAGAATGGTGGGACATCATGTGCTTCATTGCAGGATCAAGTGCCTCCAACGGACAAATCGGACAGGAAATTGCAAGAAAGCAAGAGCAGCGGCCTCCTCAAACTTCTCATCCTATCATTAGTTGCTGTGCAAGAACATGGCCATGATGTTCCAATTTGCAGTCAACATTCTGCTTTGCCTTTTGTTTTTTTTCGACAGATGCCTCTTCTGGTCCAAACAACAACCCAAACTTGCCCAATGCCCAATGCCTGGCTTTTACTTGTAGGATGTTGACGCAGATTTATTTGCAATTCTGTATCGTCATTTATTGCTGTTGGCAGTCTATCCACCATGGGCCAGAGTTTATATCGAAATGACGGTTTCACTTACCCTCAGGACACCCTCAGGAATGACTATAAGGCTATCAATTTAGCACAGAAGGTGAGCTGTTTCCAGGATATGTGCAGTATGCCTTGCTTCTTTCTTGCGCATGGTGTCGAAATACATGAAAATACGATGGCTCTGAGTCTTTCCCATGGGACCACTTGAAGGGAACTCCAGGGCTCTGAATCTGAGGTCAAACCGACCTGTCACCCAGCAATAGAGACTCTAGGAATGCAGACGTCTCGTGTGGTCGCCTGGTGCTTCGGTCAGCCGCTGCCCTAAGAAGTTGAGCAAACGTGACCCGGGCGTGCTAGCAAGGTACGCTGAGAGGATTCTAAGGCACGCCCGCCAATGCAGACAACGTACATAGAACATACAGTGTGGGTAGACTGGAATTGATTGCCAATCATTGGGTATGCCAGTCAATCCAGCCGATCATGTTTTGTGAAACTTTCGACCATTATCCAGGAGTTGCAATACCTTCGGACGCGGTGCTACGTGTTATGCCATTCTGACTATGCAAATCGAATCTTTATTGTAAACAACATGCGCTTATATATAACATATATATATATACATAATATAATTATATATATATAAATTACGTATACAAAATAATGGACGCCGTGCCCATTTCACTGCCTGCAGGTTCCGTGGTTTCAACAAGTGGAAGCAAGCGTCTTTGAGAATAATTGCCGGTTGCCCTAGATAGAATCACAGCGGATGTGGAAAAGGATATGTTTTTACTGGCCGAATGTTTTCGAATGTAGTGGTGATGTAGGGTTGTTGATAGATGTTCGAATGTGGGATAGGGATGGTAGGGATGGATAGGGTAAATCAGCCGATACTCAGGCGAGCATGCTGCCCGAGAGTGAGAATAACGTGGCCCGCGAGTTCTTCCTGCATTTGGACACCGAGTGTCGGGGACAGGTTGCTTGGCACAATGCTTTGCACTGCCGAAACCCAAACTTTATCTGACCATACCTTACCATGCCTTACCATACCTTTCCATGCCTTACTGTATCCTACGATACCTTAACCACATATAACCACATATCATTGGCTGTTGTAGCGCAACAGAATCCCAAGCCACTCTGGTCCACTTAGATTCCTTGGACCGCTGTGTGCGAGGCTGGGAGGGTTAGGAAGACTGGGCCTGGCGACGATCCTGGGAAGATGAACACTGAAAGATATGAAAGATACGAAACGGGATAGCAGATGACAGCAGGGCAGCCTTTGTTGGATGTATACTGTATTGTATAGGGATGTATAGTGGGACGTTTTAAAAGCTGCATGCTTGGATGTGGTGGTTGAGCATGGCATGGAATTGAAAAAAACTGAGTCCAGGATCAAGGTGCTTCAAGAAAGCCGTGCATATTTACAAGTCATGAGTCAGGTCGTAAACTCAATCATAAACCACCGTAAACCCCTCTTTGGAAGCGTAGTTTTCAACACCCAGAAACGGTACAATTCGCAAATGTGGCATGATTTATTGGCATTTGGTTTGATCATGTTTGATCCATCATCTATGTCCGTTGTCCCGCAACTGGCGGATCTTGGGATTTGTCCAAGGCATCTGGGTATGAACATACCGACACGGAGGAGGTTCAGCTGTGCTGGATCCATGCTGGTATCTTGCATCTTAGTTGATCACCAGAAATAAAACACAAAATAGAAGCTAGACATTGAGTCCAAGCAGTCCTATTTTGAACATGTGGTACCCATCACCGTGTCAATATCATCACAGACACTACGTATATCTACGTCTACGTACATAGTCAGTTAAACTCTTGTTAAAATTTCATTTTGTAAAAAAATCGCCAGGCAATTTCCTTTTTGCCAGGACGTCACATTCACAGAGTTCATTGCTGCCACCTTCGACCGCAAGCGCGGTTTGGGTGAGAAGATGTGCCGAGTTCCTATCTCAGATTTCTGAACCATGCGATGACAATTCACATCAATAAACAATGGGATTTCAATGGGGTGGGGGTTTTGGAGGTATATAACCTGTTTCCCAGACCCGGCTGCCCGACGCAGATCTGAGGCTGCATACCAGAGTTTCGACAGGACTGGTGACCAGCAGGCACTCTGAGCCTGAACATGGTAGGGGATTTGGCTATGGTTCGGTAAAAGCTACAGCGGCCACGGTTGAAAATTGAGTCCCAAAGGCAGATCCAGTTTGGACACTGGCTGGCCTTCAGCATCAGCATGTGTGGCTACATTGACCCGAAGCTGGACTTCAGCTCAACGATCTTGGGAACATGTTGGAATCATAATTAGTGGATGACTATATAGATGTGAATAGATGATAATAGATGTGGACTGATGTGGATAGATGTGGAAGGATGTGGATAGATGTGGAATGATGTGGATAGATGTGGAGTAGAATGATGTGGATAGATGTGGATAGATGTGGATAGAGGTGGATAGATGTGGATAGGCGGCCCTTTTTGATTGATAATGGCCGATGATACTGACGTATTAGTCGGCAAACGCACGAAGTGGCTGCAGGTGAGTTTGACGGATCTCGCCGAAGGACGACTCATCGGTATTTTGGCTGTTTCATGCTGTGTTGTGTCCAAGCACGTAAGATGAGGCATGGCATGACCCATTATCCATCGTCTTCCCCCGCTGACATCGAGATTTTTGGTTCTTGCTGGGTGTCTCCATGCTTCTTTGCTTGTGTGAAACACCCATTCGGGATCGTCCAGATGTACCTGTGCACACATGTGCACGTTTCTCATATCTCTGAACCAACAGATCCACACAAACACTCACATCTCTCTTTCTGCCCCTCTCTCTGTCTCGACAAGGCAGTGGCGGAAGTTTCAAAGATAGGAAACCAATAGGAGAGATGAGTCCCCTGATGGACCCAAAGGTGGTTGAGGCTCTGTCTGTCTGTCTGTCCGTCCGTCTGTCCGTCTGTCTGTCCGTCTGTCTGTCCGTCTGTCTGTCTGTCTCTCTCTCTCTCTCTATCTCTCCATCTCTCTCTGTCTCCTTCTCCTTGTGTCTCTCTATTTGTCTCCCTCTCTCTCTCTGTCTCTATCTCCTTCTCTCCCTGTCTATCTCTATCTCCCTCTCCCCTTCTATTTACTGTATCTATATAATATATATCTATTTGAAATGTCTATTTGTCAATCTATCCTCTATCTATTCTATCTTATCCAATTATCTTGTCTAGCCTATCACAATAGTCTATCTACCTATCTCTCTAAGCTGTTTTATTCCAACCTATTCCGTTCTAATCTATTCTATTCTACTCTAATATATTCTATTTCAGCTATCTATCTAATCTAATCTGATCTTATTTTATCTTATCTTTCTATCTGTATATCTTTCCATCTGTCTGGCTGTCTACCTGTCTGTCTGTCTGTCTATCGATCTATCTGTTTGTCTATCTATCCGTCATTCTATTTATTTATCTTTCTTTCTATCTATCATCTAGGTGTCTATGCTTCCATGTGTCTATGTGTCTATGTGTCTACCTGTCTGTTTGTCTGTCTATCTGTCTATCTGTCTCTCTGTCTGTGTGTCTGTCTACCTGTCTACCTGTCTGTCTGTCTATCTGTCTGCCTGCCTATCTGCCTATCTATCTGTCTGCCTGTCCGTCTGTCTGTCCCCCTATCTATCGGTCTGTCTGTCTATCTACATATCTCTCTATCTCTAACTCTCTATCTATCTCCATCTCTGTCTCTATCTGTTTCTCTATCAGTTTCTTTATCTATTCATCTATCTATCTATCTATCTACCTACCTATCTATCTATCTATCTATCTGGCTAGCTAGCTAGACGTCCTTCAAAAGTGGAAATTGACAGGTCCAAGACGAAGCACTTTTGCAAGACATCCTCAAAAATTAGAAGTTCTGAGGTCCAAAACGAAAAAAAAGTGAGACTTCCTCAAGTTTGGAATGGGGCAACGTCAAAAATGCAGGAAAGTTGAGTGCAGAGCTGATGGCCTCGTGCCAGTGCGTTTTGCGATTTTCCCATCCCACTACTCCAAAGTATTGCGATTGCCACGAAAGAGGGAGGCCAGGTCATACGAAGTGCTGCACCCGTCACGCAAAATCATCTTAGCAAACCTGAAGATCCGATGCTCCAAAATGCAACCGTCTCATGAAATCAGGGCCCTGGCCTCCCAACTCTGATGGAGATCTCTCTTGTATTGTGCCTGCCACAAGAAATGCATCTTTGCAGCTCCTCTTCAAGCGTCCCACGCCTGCCATCGTTTTTGAAACTGCCACAAAATCAACGCGTTTGGCTCACTGTTTGCGGGGTGTAGAATCCATTGCGCCTGCCATGCACAACCGCATCCGAACTTCAAAAAGTATAAAAAGTGGTCCGAGACCGTCAATTTTTAACACGTTTGACTTCAAAAGGTGCTTCACGCCACAGCCGCGCGCACTTTTCAACAATGGTGTGAACATGTGGTGTTTTCACCATTTTGGCTTCGAAATGTGTTTCGTGCAACAACCGCGCGCACTTTTTGAACAGCTCAACTTCCAAAAGAGTTCTGAGGCTGAGTTGTTTTTGACGTTTTCACTTCGAAATCTGTTGGTGCTGCAGCGGCGTGCGCTTTTGCATTTCTTCAATAGCTCAATTCCCAAAAGTGCTTCGACCCTGAAATGTTTTCAAGGATTTGGAAGGCTGCTTCGCGCCACAGCCGCCTGCACTTTTTGACAGCTGAGCGGCCAAAAGTGCTCCGAACCCGAGGTGTTTTTAACATTTTGACTTCCAAATGCGCTTCGCGCCACAGCCGCGTGATTTTTTTTGATCTCTTAGCAAGCCAACTTTTCGACCCGCCGGAGCCACAACACATTGGAAAAACAACGTGTTTCACGACTTTTCTACCTTTTTGCGCGCTTTGATCTTCTTTCTTCTGATGCTTTCTCTTCTCTGACTCTTTCTCTTCCCTGATCTTCTTTCCACTAACTTTTTCTCTTCTCTGACTGTTCTCACAACTGTTGCTGCTTCCATATGTCGCAAGTTTGACTTCTTCTTTGATCAACCTACGTCTATATCTATAGTACAGTGTAAAACCTATTGTCTATCGCTACCTCTGTTTCTATCTCTATCTGTTTCTATATATACATATAACCTATCCACCTATCTACCTATCTACCTATCGGCCTACCTGTCTATCTATTTGTCAATCTATTTGATCTGGTCTTGCCTTATCTTAGCTGATCTTATTTGACCTCTATTTATATAGCTGTCTTATTTTATCTTGCGTTGTCTTATCTTATCTGACCTGATCTGATCTATCTTATCGATCTTGTCTATCTTGTCTATCTTGTCTATCTGGTCTGCTGTATCTATATTATCCATCTCATCAAATCTTTCTAATCTTTCTAATTTTCTGAGCTTTCTAATCTACTTAACCTATCTAACTAACTCTCTGTCTATCTCTCTATCTGTGTCTCTGTCTATCTATTGATCGATCGATTCGATCTATCTATAGCTATCTATCTATCTATCTATCTATCCATCCATCCATCCATCCATCCATCCATCCATCTATCTATCTCTCTGTCTCTCTCTGTCTCTCTCTATCTCTCTCTCTCTCTATCTCTCTCTCTCTATCTCTCTCTCTCTATCTATCGATCGATCGATCGATCTATCGATCTATCGATCTATCGATCTATCGATCTAGCTATCTAGCTATCTAGCTATCTAGCTATCTAGCGATCTAGCTATCTAGCTATCTAGCTATCTATCTATCTATCTAGCTAGCTATCTATCTATCTATCTATCTATCCATCCATCCATCCATGTATCTCTCTGTCTCTCTATCTCTCTCTCTCTCTCTATCTATCTATCCAACCATCCATCCATCCATCCATCCATCCATCCATCCATCTATCTATCTATCTATCTCTCTATCTCTCTCTCTCTATCTCTCTATCTCTCTATCTCTCTATCTATCTATCTATCTATCTCTCTATCTCTCTATCTCTCTATCTATCTATCTATCTATCTCTCTATCTCTCTATCTCTCTCTCTCTCTATCTATCTATCTATCTACCTATCTATCTATCTATCTATCTCTCGATCTATCTCTCGATCTATCTCTCTATCTCTCTATCTCTCTATCTCTCTATCCCTTCTATCTCTCTATCTCTCTATCGCTCTATCCAGATACCCTCGATAGAGGGATGGGGGGGATCTTCTTAAGGCGGGGAGGGGGGGTCTTCTTTAGAGGGAGGGGGGATCTTCTTAATGGGGAAGGGGGTCTTCTTAGGGGGGGGGGTTTTTAGGGGGGGAGGGGGGGGGTCTTCTTTAGAAGGGGGATCTCTAAGGGGGGGAGGGGGGGGGTCTTCTTGGGGGGGATCTTCTTAGCTTTCCATTGCAGCGACAACAACAGCATCAACGCAACAACCAGAAAACAGGAAGAAGAACACGAAAAAGAAGCGAACGAAGAAGACGAAGAAGAAGAAGAAGAAGAAGCAGAAGAAGAAGAAGACGAAGAAGAAGAAGAAGACGAAGAAGAAGAAGAAGAAGCAGAAGAAGAAGAAGAAGACAAAGAAGAAGAAGAAGAAGAAGAAGAAGACGAAGAAGAAGAAGAAGAAGAAGAAGAAGAGGAAGAATAATAATAATAAGAAGAAGACAAAGACGTTGGGGGGTGCGGGGGGGGCACAGCGCCTCCCCTCTCGTTCTAGCGCGTCGGCTGACCCTCTGCAGGCGCGGCGATGCTTCGTGCATGTCTGCCTCTCGATCGTCCGTCCCCCCTTCCTAAGAAGACCCCCCCTTTTCGGAAGAAGACCCCACCCTTCCTAAGAAGACCCCCCCCCTTCGGAAGAAGACCCCCTTCTTCTTTTTGAGCCTGGGGGGGATTGGGCCACAGGGTTCGTCAAAGACCCCCCCCCCTTGAAGACCCCCCCCATCCCTACCCTATCGATGCTCTCTATCTCTCTATCGCTCTATCTCTCTATCTTTCTGTCTCTCTGTGTCTCTGTCTGTCTGTCTGCCTGTCTGTCTGTCTATCTACCTATCTACCTATCTACCTATCTAAGAATCTACCTATCTACCTATCTACCTATCTCCCTATCTACCTATCTACCTATCTGCCTGTCTACCTATCTACCTACCCGACAATCTATCTATCGATCTATCTTTCTGTCTTTCTCTAATTATCATTAATTATCCATCCATGCCTATCTATACATATATATATATACATATGTGTGTATGTATATATATACACATATACATAGCTATATACACGCGTAATTAATTCGGAATAAAATCTCGCATGCCTCGTGATGCCGCTGCCTGAATTAATTGCATTTTGCGACTTCTATAATATACATTATGCTTCTCCATCTGCGCACGCGTGCAGGTGCTGCATGCCCACACACACACACATATATATATATGTATATAATATATATATATATGCATACATATCTCACAAATATGGATATCCTGGATATCTAGGACACGGCATGCCATGTTAGCCCCTTTTGATCTTCTTGGTACATCTTGGCACCCCCGGCCTCCCAATTTCCAAGGCCAATTGACCTCCAAAGACCTGAAGCGTGTGCTTCGAGACCTGGGAGAAGAGCTGGACACCGTGGACTTCGCCAGTTTCATGAAGATGCTACCAGCCATTACCAGCCTTGGATTGGCCTTGGATGGTGGCCTTGGTGGCCAGGGAGTTGAGGGGGGCGTAGGGCTTAACTGAGATTTCAACCTGGGACCAAGAAAATTGGTAGACAAGTAGGCGTTGGGAGTTACTCAGCCGGCTTCAGCCCCTGGCTTCAGCCATGGGGTTGGCTTCACCCAGGGCCTGGCCCTTTTCATGATGCCATCCCACCATGTGGCACAGGAACATCTAGATTGCTGACTGGTTGGATCTGGTTGGTGCAAAGGGCCTTGAGCGAGCAGCCCAAAACATAGGAGATTGTAGGACATGAGAAAAGGTATGAAAACATGGATAACAGACAGTACTGTAATGGCGGCCATTCGTGAACTTTAGGGCCTCTAAGGGCACTGCTTTGTAGCTGCAACTCTGCTCTGCCGAGGTTGCGCGTTGACAAGACCCGGGGGGGGGGCTCTTGCCGTGGTTCCATGCGATATAGTATTTGATCAAGAGATCGTGCAATGAGTTTCCACCACAATGCGATTTCATGCGTTGCCGGACACTGACTTGTTGATGTACGGTGCGTAGCAGCACAGGGAATCGAGCACTGCCACATGAAAATGGTGCACACACACAGATCTAGATGATGTTCATTCAATCATTGAAAAGCAAGCTTGACGTGCATGCAAAGGTCGCATTCCAAGACACCGCCAGTGCATGCAAACATGCCACTCGACAAGTACATGACATGACACACTCGACAGATGCAAAGCTCGTTGATGCCACAACTTGTGCCAGGATCCGAAAAGCCCTCCTTGTGGCTTGGCATTCATTTTATCTCACCTTTTTATCTCACCAGTTTCGAAAATTAAAATGTGCATAGTCTGCGCCATGCCACATCGTTGCACATGTCCCGGTAACTCTTCATTATTCTGAAAGCACTGTAGTAAGGATATGTAAGGATCAATTGGTGTTATTGTGACATTTTGGCCGGCAAATCCATGTCATTCCATTGCTATGTTGACTTTGGATGATTTTCGTGCAGGCCAAATCCAAATCCATGAAGAGTGGTGGAAATATGAGCGATGCAGCACCCAGTGAGGATAGGAGCGACACAGGTGAGTAAGCGTCGACATCGACCAGAGAATCCACATTTTCCGACTTTCTGTGTGCCAAGACGCGCCATAGCGAGGAAGTGCGCATTTGAAGGGCCAGGGGGAAAAATTGGAAACAGGACGAAAAAGGCTTCCCTTTGCAGTGTTTCTACATTTTTCTTGCAATTGCATCGTTTGAGTCACCCTTGGCAGAAAAAAAACCGCTTCCTCCCATGTTTCAATTGCGGCTGAGCGAATGTGCAATCCGTGGTTCGATGCAGTCCTGAATGCTCATGGCTGCTCGACTGATTTGAAGATTGTACCAGGGTGTGATCCATTGTGATCCCATAGGTCGCACGGTCGCACCCCTTTGAGGCCCACTGAATGCCGATATTTTGTGATGCTAAAAGCATTCTTCATTTTGCCCATATGCCGGACGTCCACCTTGATATGGAGGACTGTATGCCCAATCCATTAAGTTGCCAGATCCATGCCTGAATCAATTCAGTCCTTTGCATTTGTTCTCTTTCGTTTGGTAACTAAATGTCACTATAGTGACGGACTGAAACTTAGAATGCCGCACCCCTTCAGCTCGCGCTGTCCTAAAGAATGCCGCCGCGGGGGCAAAATCTTAAAAAACCCTGGTAAAATGCAATTTTCGGGTACCTGCAATTTGAGCTGGTCTTTTTGTAATGAGTCGTTCGTAGGTAAATTTTGTGAGAATTTACAGCGTAATATGAGATTGAGTGCCACACATAGAATGCCTCCGGCCAAAAAGTCCAGCTCACAGCATGTCAAACATTTGAAGCCCATATTTTCAAAATACTCGGTATACGTGGGGTTTTATGTACTTTGTGCAGCCCACATAGAATGCCGCCAAAAACATATACAAATGTCATCATTCTGTTGCAAAATCTCTGTTTTTTTGGTGAAACACATGGTTTGAAGGATTGTATAAATTTACATTAAATTTACTATTTCATATGAATAATTGTATATAAATCCAATCTCATGGGAGGTATCCTTTCCTTTTTCCTTTCCTTTTTCCTTTCCTTTTTCCTTCCCCCTTTCCTTTCTCCTTTCTTTTCCCCTTTCTTTTCTCCTTTCCTTTCTCCTTTCTTTTCCCCTTTCCTTTCTCCTTTCCTTTCTCCTTTCCTTTCTCCTTTCCTTTCTCCTTTCCTTTCTCCCTTCCTTTCTCCTTTCCTTTCTCCTTTCCTTTCTCCTTTCTTTCTCCTTTCCTTTCTCCTTTCCTTTCTCCTTTCCTTTCTCCTTTCCTTTCTCCTTTCCTTTCTCCTTTCCTTTCTCCTTTCCTTTCTCCTTTCCTTTCTCCTTTCCTTTCTCCTTTCCTTTCTCCTTTCCTTTCTCCTTTCCTTTCTCCTTTCCGTTCTCCTTTCCTTTCTCCTTTCCTTTCTCCTTCCCTTTCTCCTTTCCTTTCTCCTTTCCTTTCTCCTTTCCTTTCTCCTTTCCTTTCTCCTTTCCTTTCCCCTTTCCTTTCTCCTTTCCTTTCTCCTTTCCTTTCTCCTTTCCTTTCTCCTTTCCTTTCTCCTTTCCTTTCTCCTTCCCTTTCTCCTTTCCTTTCTCCTTTCCTTTCTCCTTTCCTTTCTCCTGCCAAAAATGTTACACATAGAATGCGTCCAAGGGTTTTGGGGGCATGTGTTTTATGATTTTTGCTGATTTCCACATGAATTATGCTTTCCTTGACGATTTTTGTCCCTCCCGGCTGCATTTGTAACACTTAGAATGCCACACCAATCCTTTCCTCTTTCCTTTCCTCTTTCCTTTCCTTTTTCCTTTCCCTTTTCCTTTCCTTTTTGCTTTCCTTTTTCCTTTCCTTTTTCCTTTCCTTTTTCCTTTCCCTTTTCCTTTCCTTTTTGCTTTCCTTTTTCCTTTCCTTTTTCCTTTCCTTTTTCCTTTCCTTTTTCCTTTCCTTTTTCCTTTCCTTTTTCCTTTCCTTTCTCCTTTCCTTTCTCCTTTCCTTTCTCCTTTCCTTTCTCCTTTCCTTTCCCCTTTCCTTTTTCCTTTCCTTTCCCCTTTCCTTTTTCCTTTCCTTTTTCCTTTCCTTTTTCCTTTCCTTTTTCCTTTCCTTTCAACCAGACGGTTTTACACTTAGAATGCTGCCAAAAATGTTACACATAGAATGCGTCCAAGGGTTTTGGGGGCATGGGTTTTATGATTTTTGCTGATTTCCACATGAATTATGCTTTCCTTGACGATTTTTGTCCCTCCTGGCTGCATTTGTAACACTTTGAATGCCACACCAATCCTTTCCTCTTTCCTTTCCTTTTTCCTTTCCTTTTTGCTTTCCTTTTTCCTTTCCTTTTTCCTTTCCTTTTTCCTTTCCTTTCAACCAGACGGTTTTACACTTAGAATTCTGCCAAAAATGTTACACATAGAATGCGTCCAAGGGTTTTGGGGGCATGTGTTTTATGATTTTTGCTGATTTCCACATGAATTATGCTTTCCTTGACGTTTTGTCCCTCCCGGCTGCATTTGTAACACTTTGAATGCCACACCAATCCTTTCCTCTTTCCTTTCCTCTTTCCTTTCCTTTTTCCTTTCCTTTTTCCTTTCCTTTTTCCTTTCCCTTTTCCTTTCCTTTTTCCTTTCCTTTTTCCTTTCCTTTTTCCTTTCCTTTTTCCTTTCCTTTTTCCTTTCCTTTTTCCTTTCCTTTTTCCTTTCCTTTCTCCTTTCCTTTCTCCTTTCCAATCTCCTTTCCTTTCCCCTTTCCTTTTGCCGTTCCTTTTTCCTTTCCTTTTTCCTTTCCTTTTTCCTTTCCTTTTTCCTTTCCTTTTTCCTTTCCTTTCTCCTTTCCTTTCTCCTTTCCTTTTTCCTTTCCTTTTTCCTTTCCTTTCTCCTTTCCTTTCTCCTTGCCTTTCTCCTTGCCTTTCTCCTTTCCTTTCTCCTTTCCTTTCTCCTTGCCTTTCTCCTTTCCTTTCTCCTTTCCTTTCTCCTTTCCTTTCTCCTTTCCTTTCTCCTTTCTTTTCTCCTTTCCTTTCTCCTTTCTTTTCTCCTTTCCTTTCTCCTTTCCTTTCTCCTTTCCTTTCTCCTTTCCTTTCTCCTTTCCTTTCTCCTTTCCTTTCTCCTTTCCTTTCTCCTTTCTTTCTCCTTTCCTTTCTTCTTTCCTTTCTCCTTTCCTGTCTCCTTTCCTTTCTCCTGAAACTCACAAATGCGATTTAGGGGACAACAACTAGCATATTCACA